TTTTTTTTTTTTTTTTTTTTTTTTTTTTTTTTTTTTTTGCTATAAGGGCCTTGAATATTCAATCCCAACAGAAACATCTCTAGGAGAACATTCTTATGTATCGAGAAGACCATGCACGTGGCCATGTAACAGCTCCAATAGCTTATAGTCCAAGCTAAGAGCAGTCTCTAATATTACCTGCTTGGGCAATAAATGCTTATTATGTAGGAGCTCGTATGGAAATGTCAATGTAAATTTACAGTAATGGTTAAATCCACACAACCTTCTCAACCATAACATCCATTATAAACATTCTGGGACCATCTTCCGAAACCTTTTACTCTGACCTGTTTTCCCCCCTAAACAGTCTGTTTTTTACTTACCACAGTCTTAAAAGCACAAAAGATATTTTTTTAAAAAATTGTCACGGGTTCTAGAAAATAAATCTTTAGAGATTCTCCAGCAGTTTCATGTTGACTACATGGAAGGAACATATGCACTGTGACTTGAGGTCTAAAACCCACAACACTCAAATTTTAGGAGACAAATGATCTTGCATTGAAACATCTCCTAATAGTTGAGCTGCTAAACTTTGTAACAGAAATACTTTACAAAGCAGCAGAGAAGTTTAGAACGGGCTTCTCTAGACATTTGCGTCCTTGCAAAGATCATTTTGCCTTATCATGACATTTGGATTTAGAAATATTCATGGCTAAGGAGATAACATTTATTTTTACAGCAATCATTTTTCAAGCCTACCTAATGTAATTTTTCACTCTTTAAAAAAAAAAAAAAAAAAAAAAAAAGACACTGACATTAATGAAAACTACTAGGTAAGAAAGTTCTCCATAAATCCAAACTGTTCCTTTTCTCTCTCTTTCCCAGGTGTTTTAGGGATCTTGAAACTTATTTTAAAGGCCAGCCTTGCCTAGGGCTATTTTTAATAACAGAAAAGCCACTCCAACCCATTGTATAGATATACTGTACTAAAAAAGAGACAAAAACCCAGCATATGTTGATGCATTATGTAAAGACTTTCCTTGACAAGATTTAGTTACATGCAAGCTTTAAATGCAGTGTAAATGCATTTTCTAGAGTGTTAGGCCTCCAAGTGCTAAAAGTGCTACAATACCAAACTGCCAAAAAGGTGGTTTTACATCACACAATAATGGACCTTAAAAAGACAAATGAGTCATGCACATTGGGTGACAATATCTTAATCTATGCACCCATGATCAAGTCAGAGTTAGAAAGAGGTGCCAGTAAATCCCTCCTCAAAGTTCTTCTCTTCTCTCTGTTGTTCTCTACTGGCTTCAGGTGTGACCCAAACTCTCCACGCCAATAGCTTGTTGACTGGAGATGTTCCAAAAATTGACAGTGTTTTCACAGTAAAGGAAGTATGAAGTGGCTGTCCTTGATATAAAACTGATAGTCCAGCCAGTGTTGTTTCTACCTCTATTAAAAAAGCTTCAGCTACATGGTGGATAACAGCGAGGAAAATAACAAGCCCTGTAAAATCCCATGCTGAGGACGACTGCAGAAGAAAGCTGAGATGTTCTGGGATATTCTCTTCTTTTGCTTCAGCCCTTGAGGGGAAATAGGCTCATTTCCACAGTATCAAATCCCACATTCACAAAAAGATAAATGTAAGCATACAACACCACAAAGCATTCA